ACTTACTACTGAATCTGCTGTCAGTGCTGTCTATTGCAATAGCAAAAGGCCTACAAACTGTGAAATGAAGACAATTCTGTAGCTGATTTATAGTCAAGAAAGCTCTTTTCCCAGTAGGCTATTTCCATTAAGTTAATCTAACACACCACAAATTATTTATTGGTTTGAAAGCAGTTTCAATTGCTTTAACACTTTTATGATCCAGAGCAAACACACCAATTTAAATAAAGCATGTGTCAATTTATTGGCATCCTTGCAAAAGTTACCCATGGATTTAACATCAATACAAAATGACACCTTACATCTGTCTGTGCTGGCAGGCAAAGACTGAGTCAAGCAAGAATAAAGGAAAGAACAGCTACATTAAAAATCTTGTTTATTACATAGACCCTCAACATCCTTACCAGCCCATCACCCATTCCTTACACTCTTTGGAGCTTCTCAGTCGAATTGTGTGGCTTAACAGATAGTTTCAATCTTTAGTAAACAGAAACCACAAAGATGAGACACGGCTAAGTTCCACATTCCAATTTTTCTGAGACAAGAAACCAGAAGAGTTGTTGGCCCATAAGCTCCAAACAAACAACTCTACTGAACAATACTTTGTGGGACATAGTTCCTATTTTCTTTCCTGCTCTCACCACAACTGTTTCATCACACAAAATCGTAAGAATTGTTAAAAATATCCTTTGACTCTATCATAAGCTTTTCCATAGCCTAAGTTAATGGCAGTAGGACTCTCCAGAATTACTTTTTCCAGTTTAGAAGTCCCAGATGTGAGCTATCAGGAGATGGTACATCTTTGCCTTCTTCAGAAAGACCTCAGTGTCCAAACAGCACATGGGTTTGCCTAGCCAGCATCCCTAGCCAACATCTTAATTATTTGCTCCTATCCTAAGTGAACAACCTTGAAGTCTTGTTAGACAATCCTGTCAGAAAGAATACAAAAAAAAAAACCCAAACAAACAAAAAAAAAAAACAAACCCAAAACAATCCACATGCCTCAAAATCTAAGGAAAATGTTGCTGTGCACAGTAGAGTTGCATTGTTGCTGGCCTGTGCCACAAGCTTGGGGCAATAATTGTTCTACTGTCAATCCTCCCCTGAAGCTCAGGTTGGTACTTATGTGAGATCTCCACAGAAGTCTTGAGCAGAAAATAACACCCATTTCTTTCATGGGTTCTCAGTGCTGTGGGGTTTTTTTCAGCCACATCAACTCCCAAGAGAAATTCTGAATTTACAAAAGCTGAACATTCTGACTGTTTAATAGCCCTTGGGTTACACACATAAGGAAAAAAAAAAAAGAGGATTTCTTAGAAAGATGGTATTGTAGGTAACTTTATTTCTCTTCATTCAAAGAAGGAATTTAAACCTACTTATTGTCCTTAGTCCCAAGATGGCAGGCTGCTTTCATACAGTACAGTAAGTTTACAAGAAATACTGATCTAACATGAAACTAAACCTTGTTATTATAGCTGTTTCTGAGCACCACCAAGTGAAATTGACCAAGTGAAATTTATTTCTGTTTTGAAAGAGAGAATTGCTTTGAAATGTACAGGGCTGGTTAATTTTTAACTAGAAGCAGAGGTACAGTAGACAGTCTTATAGAGTAAATCGGGTGTGTCTATATTCCAGGAGAGGTTTTGTAACCTTTATTTCTTGTTATGCTGCCAAATCTTACCCTAACACTAAAGGATAACAAGTTCCCAGAAACAATCTCTGTTTGCTAAAAAGTTACCTTGGCTTGCCTTATTCAAGAAACATGCAGGACTGAGAAAATTTACAGCTGGGACAAAACCCATAGCCTGTTTTACTAACAATTACATTATAAACAGCTAAAATAAAAAATCTTAGGCTAAAGCAGCAAGGGGCAAGGGTGGAACTTATGCTGAGGTATCGATGAAATGCATTCATATTCTTCTAAGTACTGACTTTGTGTGTCAGGCTGATCTACGTATTTCAGGCATCTATAGTATGAGTGATTTTAAAGCATCTCTGTGCACTTTAAAATAAAACTAAATAATTTAATTTAAAATGAAATAGTAACAAATCAGTTCACATACCATACCTAAAGACAGTTAAACCCATTTAACTTTCCCTGGAGAAAGAAGACTCAGTGCTTTGAAAGTATGAACTTAAACTTCACAGTCAACCTGAACTTTCATTATTTCCTCACTATTTCAAGAGGATTTATGACCATAATTTGTGACAGATCCTCACATCATGCTAGTAATAGTTACTAGGAAAATAGTAACTAGCTCCCTAAATCAATGACAGACCAAATGAAATGGTACTGAAATGCACTTGAGGACTCCTACATAGCACATTTCCCTGTCATAAAATTAATAAGTGAGTTTCCTGCTACATTCTACATTTAACCACAGCAACAGGTTTCCCTAGCTATAGGTTATCTCATGTAAAAAGTAAGGATTAAAAGTCTTTTTAGGGTTGATTGTGCTCAAATGCATTTTTTATTTCATGCTGCATCCCTAGTTTCAAACATTTGCAACTACCACACTTCCCTGTGTCACACTTCACCTTTCTGTATCCTGTGTTGGTATCAGGCAGATAGTTGTAACGTTAAAGAAAACTGAGATACAATCTCACTGTTTTGGGAAACATTCAAGTGCACGACAAGACACAGTTAAGTGAGCATTTGTGAGTTTAAGTAATAGTAATTTTTGCTCGAGATAGCTCTAAAGCAAGAATTACCTCAACTTACTTGAACATTTTAAGACCCCATATGAAATACCTACTCTGCAATTGCAAGAATCCATAACTTACAGTATTTTCACAAAAATGAAAAAGCATTAAATACTTTGCATGAGCAAGAAATCCCTCCCTTCAAGGAAGGACCAAATGCAATGATCATTTTGTCTTTTCACAGTGAAATTAGTCAAGTACAAACCATAGCTGAAATAGGTTTATCATTATTTCAAACCAATTAAATAAAACCACTCCTGGCACCACCACATACAGAGCAAGAACTTAGAGCTCTACAGCAAAATTATTTCACAGCAGAGTGTTCAAGATCTATTACAACATGCCAAACTTCAAGGAAGCTTTAGCGCTGCAGAAGCTCCCAGCAGATCCCCAATCGTGCAGAGATGCATTTACATATTTGTAAGATAAGCACATCAAAATACTTTTAATAGCTAAAAGTCAGGCATCTCCTTACAGAGCAGGGATTCTCAGAAAGGGAATTAAATCCACGGAGAGCCTCTCATAGCACATCCATGCTCCTTCTAAAAGGACGGATGAACTGTCCTTTAAAGTACTGTCCAGATCAACACAACAAAACCTTCCTAATAAGTAGGCAGAACAAAGGCAAAGTCATTAAGATCTGTAACTAAGACTCCTTAACTAATTATTAAGAATGGTACATTTGTAGCCAAGTTCCTCCCTGCATGTTCAGGAAGGTGACTGTTCATACCAAAGATAGACTATATTAAATTAATCACTGTCTCTCAAACAAGGTGAAAGTAAACCAAACTCCAAGTCAGAACTTATTCCTTAGTCTTATCATGAACACTTATTTTCCAAAGAATTCCAAATGCAAAGTTATCCCTTTTTTAATAAGGGATTTTTCTATTAGAACCTTTTAAGTAAATGTAAGGAAATCCTTTAAGAAGCCCTCATATAAGCGCCTTAGAAGTCAATTTCCACCCTCCACCCCCCCCCAAAGCTACATTAGCTTCATTTAGCCAAGCAGGAATGTGAACATCTTTATACAAACATAAGTGTTCAGAAAGGAACAAACCACATTTCAGGTTTTCAGTAACCTTTTACAAAGATTGTGGCAGTGTGTATGGAGAAGGTGGACCCTGCAATATGAAGCGCATCTTTTTGATATAATCCAGGCAGAATAAGCAATACATAATACACACCCACACAGAGCTCCAACTAAAAATACAGAATGATGATGCCAGCAGAATATGGTCTGTTCTCTTGCTGTAAATGACAGTTCTAATAATTACAGGAGGTTTGAAAAGGTGGGTGGCCTAATAAAAAGAGGCCCTGAGGTGATGTTCTGACAGTCTTGGCCACACTGCCGAGTTTTCTAAACTACCTAGGAAATCGCAACAACCAGGCTTCGGCTTGCTCGAGCACCGGAGTGATGTATCCAGGCAGAGCACATGCAGCAGCAAAAAACCCGAAGTCTTGCACATGCAGCCCGAACTCCCCGTCTGGGGAGAGACAAAGTCGGGAGCGAAGCCGCACGCAGGAGAAACGGAGGAGGAACGGACACCGTCCCGCTGCCCACGGATGCTGCAGGCACAGCACCTCCTGCGTTTATGTGTGATTTAAAAGGATTAGCACACACTCGCAAACGGGACGGCCAAGGGAAAGCGGAGGGCAGGCTCCATGCCCGGGACAGGGCATCGCCCGCGGGGCCGGGCCGGACCCCCGCCCGCCTGCAGCCTCACATCGGAGCTGGGGCGAGGGGGGAAACAGGGCACGCACACCAAACTCGCCTTCCCCCCACCCCCTCCCCGGCCCGGCCAAGAGTTTGAGCGACACCCGACACCGACCCCTCCAAACTCCACAGAAATCCCTGCCCGGGACCGCGGAAGGACGGGACTTGGGGGGGGGGGGGGGGGGCGAAGGGGGTGGGCGACTTTTGTCTCTCTTTTTGCAACTACGCGCGTTTACCTGAGCCACCCCTGAGGGAAAACCGCCTCGCCCCCAAACGGGATATTGTCCCGAGGGAACAGAGAGGAGAGGCCTCCTTTTCCTGCGCACACTTTTTGCAGGAAAGAGGGGCGAGGAGCAATAGTTTCGGGGGGAAAACCGCTGCAGGCAGCTTCCCGTCCTCCTCCCGGCCCGGCCCGTCCATGTGCGCGTCCTGCGCCTCCGCGGGAGCCTGGCCCCGCGCCCGCCCCTCCCCGCCGCACTCCCGGCGGAGCGCGGGGGAAAGTTTGCCCAAGTCCGACAACAAAAGGGACAGCGGCGCTCGCCTCCCCGCCCGCCCGGGCCCCGCGACGCCCCGACGAGCTTACCCCCGGCCGAGCCCGGCTCGCAGCGCAGCACCGAGGCGGCGAGGAGCCGCAGCAGCAGCAGCAGCGGGAGCGGCGGGGCCGCCGCCGCCTCCATGTTGTGCCGCCGCAGCAGCTGCCGGAGCGCACGGAGCGTCTCAGGCAGGCTCCATGCTCGGGGCGCTGCGCTCGGCGAGGAGGGAGGGAGGGAGGCGGGGAAGGGGGGAGGCGCTGCAGCCGACCCGACCCTCCTCCTCCTCCTCCTCCTCACGCCGCCGCCAGGGAGGGGGCTGGGACGGAGGATCCCGGCCCGCACCGCATCCCGGGAGCGGGCGGGGGCGCCCCGTCCCGCCGCGGCGCGTCCCACGCCTGGGAACACCTGGCGGCGCGGGGAGCAGGCGGGCGGGGCGCTGGGGCTTTCTTCTTTATCTTGTTAACTCGTTCCTGCTGCAGCGATTACTCCAGAACCAGCCGGCAAGGCTATAGAAGATGGCTCGCTGCGTGTTCAAAAAGCAGCCTTTCGCTGGTGGATTTGGAAGTTAACTGCGGGGACGCCCGCCCCTTTTTCTGTCTCCAGGAAAAAGAGTGGTTGCTTTATTCCCGAATGGAGGTTCGTTCTTGCCTTTCTCCTCCCACCAAAACATTTTATTAAGTCACTCTTCCACAAAACACTACTTTTCAAGGAAAAATGCATTCAACAGCAGTCTTTTGTTGCCTTTCCCTCCTCCCTGTTAAGCATGCCACCTGCTCCTATAAACACATAACCACCAGGAAAGAGGCAGAAACTGCACTGTGACGGGGCTTGGTTTGTGCTGAGGCCGGGTACAGAGGGCTGAGCAGCACCCGGCTCACACTGAAACATCCCGCACCTTTCACAGGCCAGATACTGCCCCCATCTCTCTCACAGGGATAAAACCAAATGCCGTAATTCAAGAATTTTCATTTAAATGTCCATTTTTGGGCATCAGTGTCCTTGTGCTAACACTGATCTGACAATAAGAAAAAGGATTGCCAGATGGCCTTCTACAGAGGTGGAAATCACAAAGGGTCAGCCCAGCATCCCCTTTAAACAAGTTTTTGCAAGTCTCAGAGCAGGAGCCATAAATCATATGCAAGCACTTAGCAAATGGATGTCACATTTTAATAGTTTCATTACATTTCAGAGATTAGTGACTTCTAGGTTGCCCTGTTGCCACATACTAATTTATCTGCCTTGCTGTAGGTGCTATAGCAGCAGCTGAGATTTCTTCTTGGTGCTCCATGGACCCCTGCCCAACTCAAATACCAGGATCAAACACTCAAGAATTAGTCTAAGTCCTGTTGGTTACTCCATTGCAGACATCCCCTGCAAGGGAAAAGGCCGAGTGTTTTGATTTGGTTTTTTTCTAAAGTCAGCAATATTCAACGTACCTCAGAAAGCAGTTTAAAAATTCAAGGGTTTACAAAAGACTTATAGTGCTGACATTAAAGATCACCTATAAAGGGGAAAGGAAAGGTTTTCTTCTCTCTTGCTTCTGGTTTAACATACAGAGAACATGTATTTTAAAGAGGGCTCATTTTAGGTGGCATTTAATACCTAGAATAATCTCAACTTCCTTAAAGGTAGGAAAAGCAGAAGTTGGTCTTTGGTGATGGATCTGTAATAAACTGGAACCCAAATCTAGGCTGCTGTAAATCATTAATGGAAAAACTTTGTGTGAACACCAACTGAATGAGGGTTTTGTTTTGCATCTGCTTAAAGAAATTGCCCAAAACCAGACAAATAACTGGATGAAAGATTTATTTGTTGAAGACAGTGATTGGACTTTACTTTTGATGGGTCCAGCAGTCCTGGCATGGCAGTAAGTGGGGTTAATTGAAGTCAGAGGCAGAGAAAGGGCACATGAAGCAGTTATGCTTGCAGCAGGCAGTGGGGAACAGTGGGGTTCCCACCCCAAATCCTAATCAGCTTGGGGCCATACACAAAACTGGCTTGTGTGCCTGGAGGGAGAGCCAGGCTGCCCCAAGGTGGCCTCAACAGCACCACAGCAATAGGGTTCCCTGCCCTTCCTGCCCCTGGCCCTAACAGGATCAGGGATCAGCTGCTGAGATGACCCAGCCATCGCTCCAATGCCAGCACCAAGCCATGTAGAGGGGGTGACTTGAGTCTGCCCACAGGTTGCTGGAGGGCAGCAGCAAGTCCTCTTTCAGCTTGCAGCTGCTCCCAGCACTTGGTAACTTGGGTCCCAAGGTCCCATACTAGGATGCAATAGCCTGCTGCTATCCCTGCTCCATCCAAGAGCTGATTATCTCCCTATCTAATCCTGTCAAACTGCGTGGTCAAGTTAGGAATGGCAGCAGTTTATACCAAAAGGGAGAGATAGCAGCATGTGAGCAATCAGCAATTTGAGACTGACTCACAGTCTAAAACAAAATGAGATGAGAGATCAGGCCATGGAGGCAGGCAGCTAGGGAAGAGAATCTTACTTCTTTGGGGCTTTAACCAAAACACCTCTGCTAAAAAACACTAAAGACATTCATCTAAAGCAATGGCAAATGCAGTAGCAGCCAGGAACACAGTCTTTCTCCAACCCAGAAGATGCCATCTTAAATTTAGATAATATATTGTAAGGGGAATTTGGAGGAAGTTAAAGTTATGCAAACCTGAAGTCATGAGCTGAGCAAGCTGCCTTCCATCTATTTTCCAGCCCTGCAAAAATCACTCCAGCAAAACCAAAGGAGGCAAAGCTGTGACATTCCCAAAATGCCTGATGTACATATTTTCCCAATAAATTATAAAACAATGTAAAAATAAACAAACAAAAAACATGTATCAGGATAGCACAAGCATAATTCTATCCTTTATTTTAATTGAAGAAAGAGGGATCTCTTTTCATTCTGCTCACAGTGTCCAAGATTGCAAAATCAAAAAAGCCAATGCCCCGTTTCATCTAATATTTCTTGTGTGATTCTGGGCAAGTCACAGTCTAACATTCCCTCAGTTTCTCTTCCTACAATAAAAGGAGAAGAGGGAACAGTTTTCCTAACTTCCATAATTTCTGTTTATAATTTGACAGAAACTGCAGCAAGTTTGGAGTCTGACTGTAGGAAGCAGGAAAGGGAGGAAATCCAGACTGGGAGGCCAGGCCTCCCCTGCCAAGGTGTAAAAGCAGGTCAGTTCCTGCATCCTTCCATTGCCATTCCTGGTGGGGAAAGGATGGACACACAGAGATAAAGGAGGGAAAACAAAGAGCTATGTCTGAGCACCAGGATAATGTAGCCACCCTGCCACAGCTGGGAAATTTGCTTTGACTGAAATGCTCCAGATGTTTCTGCATGTTTACTCCTCCTGGATTTCTCCTTCCTACCCCAGTTTACAGTATCCTTCTCTCCCAGCTGCCAGAGCTGTCTGAGCTCCTGTGGAGCTAACATTTAATGACAACTGCAGAAGGCCCTAAAATGAATCTACTGTTTTACAATTGACACCCAGGTTTATTTCATGGTGAATATCGGTACCAAGACACACATTTTTATTCTCTGGGGCAGTGCAGTTTAGTCAAGATGAAGTCACTAGACCCAGATAGACTGAAGCTGCTCTTTGGTGCTTTGCAAGGGAAAGGTAAAGTGATCAGTAAAAAACAAAGACACCATCAAAACATTTTTCTTCTTTACTTCTAAAGCATATGACAAAATAATTTCCCTCTAACCACGTCTCAAATACACTTCTTCACCCTTTCACTCCCAGCTTACAGTTAGAAACTGTGTGTAGGGACCTCTATTCTCTATCACCCTGTATCAGAAAAGAAAATGTTTACAGGTAATCTAGAACAAGTCAGACATTATAGTAGAAAGTATTATCTGGATACAGGTTCCCTCATCGCCTCAAATAAATAGACACACTGAGAAAAACATATCTATGCATTCAGCCATAGTTAAGATTGCCCCTCCTGAGCAGAAATCTGAAGTAATCTTGGTAAGGGGTAGGTTTGGTTCTGAGGCTGCATGGGGGATTTAGGTGTTGCTTTGGAAAAGGTGGGTTTTTAGGTGCCAAATAATACTTAAAATTTAAACCTAAATCCCTGCACTACCACTCATGAAGTTGACTGAAAGGGAGGGAAAATGTCACCATCACCACCTTCTCCATAAGGAAAATGACAGTAAGAAAAATAATAACTTTGTTTGTATCATGCAGTTTCCCTGGCATTGCAGAAGGACAGTAACCTAATTTTTTTCAAACTAATTATTCCCTGAAATATTTCAGCTACCCAAATTTGTGTGACAGTTTTCTTCCCCCTCCCCAGATCAACTCTGACATGAACTAACAGTTAAACTACCACAGTGTGCCATGCAGACACAGTTAAAAATCAATGCTCTTTCAGCCTGTGGGTTTAAGGCCCTTTTAAGGCAGTCCTAAAAGAAACTATGAAAAGGAAGTCAAATTTTATAGCATTTAAAATGTCTATACAGAACTTTTTTATGCTTATTGAGAAATCTTTAGGATTGAAAAAGCATGAAAGTCTTAGGATGAGTAGTGAAAAGTTAAATATTGAAGAAAACTACATTTTTCAGGCAGCCATGTGAAAGAGCACAGGTGCATTATAGGTATAACTGGGGAGCATTAGGCACATGATTATCTTACATTATAGCACACATAAGCTGGAAAACTTTCCTGCACAGAGAGGGCTCCAGTGCCACACCTGAATTGCAACCCCAACGTTTCCAGTGTGGTGACCCCAGCGAGGTCAGTTGTGGAGTCACAAACAGGACTGGGAGATCTACAAAAAAAAGGTGTTTTTTTTTCAAATAGTTATGGCATTTTTTAAAGAGAAGACTGTGCTGCAAGTAACCTAGGTGGGACCACAGAAAGAACAAGACAGAGAATGGCAACCTCTTAGCATTTGCCGCTGCTTGAGATTTTCTGCAATACCCAGGGCCCATCTGCCAGCAGTTTCTGCTCCAAGAGGGATAAATGGGACACACATGCCAGTAACTCAAATACAGGGAAATCAGGAGACACTGCAAGCCAAGGGAGCAGAGTGCTACAGGACAGAGGCTTCCTGGCAGATATGAATTTAAGGAGAGAGATGGCTCACATAGGTTTGCAAGAGGAAAACTAATATTATAAAAAAAAAAAAATCTGACAAAGGCCCCACTGCTATCTAATTTAAAAAAACATTTAAGTGAGACAGCAAATGTGTAAAGAGCCTGTTCCCAAAATTTCACGCTGGATAGCAACGT